CAACCCAAAATGGCTGGAGAGGATCGCAAGACAACAGGAGAGTTTGTGTAATAGAGCAGAAGTTTTAAAGGGAGAAGTGAGGCAACAGTGTGGCTGCTTGTACTGCTGCCTGACCTTGCTGATGTTGATGATAATTAGACATATTCAACTGTAGCCAGGGTGGAAGAGAAGATAATGCACTTGGAAGATAATTGCGGGAATGTTTGCAGCGCATAGGGGCTTTTGCTTTTTTATCCTTAAGGAGGGAAACCTGCTTCAGCTTGTCCTCCCCCAGCTCTCTGCATGCATGTCTCTCTGGTGTGCAGTTATGACTACCTCTGTTGCTGCGTAGAACAGAAAGCATCCAACATACTAGCAACGATTTGGGGGGGATCCGTAAAAATAAAATCTGCCAGGAGTGGATAGAGTAAGAGGCATGGTGTGAAAAATATACATATCTCATCCATCCCTCCATGTGACTACATTGGAGCACAGGCTCTGCATCTATAGGGATGTGAGATGTGGTGGGGCCAGGTGCATGGATAACAAATACATGTAGTTGTATCTTTCGTTGTTGTTGCTACTGCTCTTCTGCAGGTAAGCTGTGGACAGCCCTATTTGTTTATGTAGTGTTTCCAAGTATTGAGAAGCATTTTGTAACTTTGTTGTCCAAGATAAACATGTCTTTGAAGCATCCTAAATTACCCTCTAGAACATCCTTTGACAGTGAATGCTACAGTTCAATTACGGACTGTGTGAAAAAATACTTTGTTATGTGATTATTTCATGTAACCTGCTATGTGAGCACTTCATTTTACGTCTCCTAGTTTTGTACTGTGAGAAATAATGAATAATTGCATCTGTTGTCCTCTTTGATCCCATTTATGATTTTATGTACCATCATTATTATGAGCCCCTAGTAACCTCTTTTTTTTAGGCTGGAAAATCCCCATTTATTTAATCTCTCCCTGTATGGAAGATGCTCTGATTATCCTGGTCACCCTTGTTTGTGCCTTTTGTAATTCTGCTCCAGATAATTTAAAGGAATGAGAGCTGCATACTGTATGGAAAAGGTGAATTCCCAATTCATCTGGAAAAATGTTTCTGGTTTGGTCAACTTGCCTAGTAATTCAATATGCTCTGCCTTTTTGACCATTGCTTGTTGCTTAACTGAAGTCTTCATTAAGCTGTGTTCAGAGATGCTGGAATCTCTTTCCTGAGCAATAGCTAATTTAACCTTTTATGTAGGTCTAACAAATTTGTCTTTCCCAATATCTGCTGCTTTGTATTTATCATCACCAAATTAATCTGTGATCTTATCTCCCAGTTCACAGTGTCATGAAATCCTTTATGACTCTTGGCAGTCAGGTTTAGTTTAGTTTGCCTTGAATA